TCAAAGGTAACTAGGCACGCACGAGGATGATTTTAAGTCTAGTAGCTAGGAAACGAGCATAAACAAATTATCGATGATTCTCGACGTCTACCTACATGTACCATGCATTATTCCTCCGTAAGGAAAGTTAGAAGTTGCCTGAATTCCAACAGTTGTTCATAATCCTGTACAATCAGATTGTTGTAAGTGTTAATTGATATCTTATCTTGTAGTTGAGACAATAATATTGGCATTAAGTACGATTTGTAATGATCTAGGGCATGAAGATACATGTATATAGCAGTATTATTTTTAATTTATGCAAGTTGTACGATTCCCATGTGTGTTGCGTTAGGCTCGCACGAATGTATGAGCCATGGGGCATTATAAAATGGGTTCAAGAGTCTAGCCAATGAGAAGCATCGAAATGGATCACGTGTGCATGCCTTATGGTACATTTGACTTTGCGATCAGGGTTTAGTCAATTTTTCGAATCTACACGTATTGTAGACCTATCTTATTATACAAATAATGAATGGTTATGAGTTCAATTGTGCGAATATTTTCATGACTTGAATAGAATTAACGTTAATCTTTCAACGAATGAAAATATTCGCACTATTGAACGAATGAAAAACATTCATTATCTGTTTTTAACAACATCGAAGAAGATCTAATAGAATGTTAATCAACAAATTATGCTTTACTCCTTATATTAAAGCTAAATTAAAGTTGGAGTCAAGCCTTCTCGATTAAATTCAGATTGCCTTCGCGTCAGATACACGCAGGGATACGCGCACGGCAGAAAGGTAGGCAGTCTGCATATAACCCAAAATACACGGTCGTGGAATACTATATTGAATATCATGTGACCAACAATCCTCCAATAAAATTACAATGATCCACGTAGGTGTTGTATACAATACAAATAATACATGATTTTAGCATGTGCATAATATATGCAGTGCACTTGGGTATTCACAAAGAGACGGACGGTGAACTTGACAAGACTCGTTCATTATCATAATTTGCTAATGCACACACAAATATTTTATTCGTATATTGATGCATGGCATGTACAGATATATAATCATGTACTGGCGGTTACTTAAATGGCAGTGTACACGGATTTAGGGGTAACACAAAGGGTGCTAGAAGTACGTTTCCAACCATATGGAGAAAAAAAGGACTAAAGATTATTATTTGATGCAAAAGTTAGGGATATATCTTGTCAGGTAACCATATAATTGTGACATTGTATTACGGTGTACCAAGAGGGCCATAAGTCCATAAAGTTATTGGGAGTTAAGCACAGATAAGTGCATTATTGTTAATTAATCAAATGTATAAATAAAGCAATCGTCCGACCAGCGAGTGAGTGTACTTCTGTTCAGTTGGAAATGATGTTTGTGAGTGAACGGGTGCGTTAGTGGATGGAAGGGGGAGTGATGGTGGTGAATTGTTAAAAGGAGGAGAGTAGAAAGACTATATATTTTATTATTTTAATATATACACTATGAGAATGTTTATGCCCATTTGGCTACGTAATCCTATTTCATTTAACAGTGGGAATTGATTTATGACGTAAGGGATTACTCAAAAAATATGGGGTCAAAGAAATGGTATCTTAGTTTTTATCATTAATTTGGTGATTTTCATTAGATGGAAATAGTGACCGAAATATCGGCCTTAGTCAACAACAACAATTGTGTCTTTTCGATGTGTCTTTTAAATTTAGGAGCACATGCATTTATACTCTATAAATTGATTCTGAAAATTCACTCTCATTGAATTAGACATTGGCCATTACGTAATAGTCATATTCGAAAGGGAACAATATGGCACACTAATATGTCATCTTATATAACAAAAAATACATACATTGGATATGTAATGCATGTATTCGTAAATAGCTGAGATATATATGGGGTCAGTAGGAGAGAAAAAGGACCAAGGATGGGAGTATATGGAGGAAGGGAGAAAGAGAGATAGAGAGAGAGAGAGAGAGAGAGAGAGAGCCAGTTAGTCAGAGTGGGGAGGGAGATGGAGTCTCCCCTATCAGCAAGAAATCCTTTTAAATGAGAATTTCCAATAGCGCCCTAGCGAATTATTTGTATCTACAAGATGTAAAAATTGAAGATAATAACGAGCGAATCGAATATGGATACTGAAGCGAACGTATGATGTTTAAAGTAGATATTCATTGATTTTAAAAACTAACTTTATTTTCATTATTGCAACGTTAAAACTTTGATTCGACAAGGTTATCAAAATTCAATGCTTCGTATAATGATTCTTATAAATTACAAAACGCTTAAATACAGCCCCGGCATATACCTGAAGAGCTCTCCGAACGCTGCTGAGATATGTGAGATCACAGTATGGACATGATTTACACAAGCAGACGATGTCCCATGACATCTCACACATTTTCAGTGCCTGTGTTTTCATCTTCTCTTGAGTTCTTTCTCTTACTTCACTACCATCAGGCTAAACGTATAATCTATTGCCTCACTCTAAACCCCGCGCATGGTTTTATTTTGATGACAAATGCAGCGATACAAAAATAAAGGAATCTTTCGCTTGTAAACAAAATAAGACGCCATTGTATATTCAGCTGCACACACCACGGTATGTTCGGCGTTTCAAGAGGGAACAAATGCCGTCCTTAATATCATTCCAGGGGGATTTTCAATTTAAAAATCTGGTTTCTTTGATTGTTAATTAACCCCTATCCTGTGTATTTACAAGCAAAATATTTTAGTAAGCCTACTGTATATCTACATCACCATGCAAGCCGACACTTACAAGCAGCATCAACAGATTTAGTTATCAGAATCGGGTCATATCCCCTTTTGAATGGTTTGACATGCCATTACATTTATATACACTAAACTCTTTATAATTTGACAAATAATAGCTTTGCAATTATGTTTATTCTTTAGGGATGTCGTCTGCTTGTTGCAGTATTGGTCCATATAGTGACGTCATTAAAACATTGTTATTTTTCCGGCGAATCTCTCGTATATCCCAGCTGCTATGGATGTGGTTGTCATTTGTATTTTTATAAATCACCCGATATGTAGTTGACCTAAAACTTGTACGATGGCCATCTTTTAGCTTACCAGTTTCTAGTGATACATTAGTTGACATATATGTGATTTTCTTTGAATTTCACCTTTAAGGCGATGCATGGACTTCGTGTACCGTGGAAACCCCCGGGTAAAGGCGGACATATATAGCGCCGCTGGTGTTGGGAATGGTGTTTGGGACGATATCGGAATCGCCACATATTAATTTTGACATTAAATTCAAAGGGAGCTGCGCGTGCACTAAGACAACCTATAAGCCTAGTATACAGTAGCTAGGAAACGAACATATTAAACGGATTATCGATGATTCTCGACATCAATCTACCAACATTCCTATCCCTCCGTAAGGATCCTGCAAAAGCCCATTGTTGTTAGTTGACATCTAATCTTGTATTTAAGACAATGAAAAAAATGACATTAAGTATGATTTGTAGTGATAAAGTATACAATATGTATAAAAATAATGAATAGTTATGAGTTCAATAGTGCGAATATTTTCATGAGTTGAAAGATTAACATTTTATTCAGCCGAGTTGAATTTAATTAACGTTAATCTTTCAACGAATGAAAATATTCGCACTATTGAACGAATGGAAAACATTCATTATTTGTTTTATAAAACATCGAAGAAGATCTAATAAAACGTTAATCAACAAATTATGCTTTACTCCTTGTATTAAAGATAAATTAAAGTTGGAGTCAAGCCTTCTCGATTACATTCAGATTGCCTTCGCGTCAGATACACGCAGCGATACGCGCACGGCAGAGAGGTACGCAGTCAAACCAAAAATATAACATATTACCAAAAATGCACGACGAATATAACCAAAAATGCACGCCCGTGCAATAGAACATCTATTGAATATCATGTGACCAACACTCATCCAATCAAATGCAATCCAATCCAATCCACGTAGGTGTTGTATAAATGTATATAATAGTTTTGTCTTCAAATTTAGGCAAGTTTCACGATTCCTATTACGTAATTAGCTCACATGACTGACGTATGTCGTGAGCCATTTGGGCATACACATTTATAATTACGTACCGGGTCCTGGAAAGTCAGTGCGCACGAATTAAGGTGTGAACGGGCACTATGCACATTTACAACAGTATTAACTATTAATACAAAATTACTATAGGTTATTGTTTGATACAAAGGTTAGGGGTATTATGTCGCGCAACCATAACACTATGACATAACTATGTTACTTTACAGACACGAATTCAGGTAGAATTTGTATTGTTATTGTATTGTGTACCTAGAGGGTCATAAATAAATGTATTGTTGAGTAAAGCACAGATATAAAGTGCATTTTTGTTAAGGCTATTTAAGCCCTTGTTGAGTTGAAATGTTAAAGAATATAATGAACTGGTGTACCTGCATTCTCAGATGCCATGATTATATGTAGCAAGAATATATTTAGGCAGGAATTTTTGGTGATATGATCACAAATTACAGACGCTGTGTGTCGGGACAAGTTGTGTATACAGCCAGTTTATTTTAAACAGCAATTTGAAGAAGTTTACAACCCATATTTCATAAATCGTTTTAAGACCTTTGATGAACAATATTATAAAATAAAATGATTTATGATGGTTAGTGCTATTTGATACATATTTTCCATCAAATATGAAGGCAAAAGAGAAATCATTATGGTTAAGTGTCCATCCACCCAGCTCCCATCATACATGCATTTGGTTCAAGTCAGCATACAGTGTATCTATTTTCGTAGATGAAATTGAATTGTTTTACAGATTTGATGGTTTAGCGAGAGATTTATTATTGGAAATTGTATCTTTTAGTATCATTATCAAAGAATCAAAGACATCAAAAGCAATGTGGACCGCATTACACCTTGCGCAGAGAAGGATAATCTTGATGTCACCCTACATCTGATCAGCTAAGGAGCTGACGTTAATTTCGGAATGGATAATGGTTGGGCTTTATTTAGTGCTGCTACGAACGGTCGTCTTGATGTCACCAAATATCTGATCAGTCAAGGATCTGTAGTGGATAGGGGAATGGATGATGGTTGGACTGCATTGCACATTGCTGCTAAGAATGGTCATATTAATGTCATCGAATATCTGATCAGTCAAGGAGCTGACGTGAATAGGGGAATGGATGATGGTTTCACTTCATTACACAATGCTGCTAAGAACGGTCATCTTGATGTCACCGAATATCTGATCAGTCGAGGAGCTGAGGTGGATAGGGAAACGAATGACGGTTGCACTGCATTACACAGTGCTGCTTCGAAAGGTCTTGATGTCACCAAGTATCTAATCAGTCAAGGAGCTGAGGTGAACAAGCGAGATAATAAGGGTTGGACTCCATTACACATTTCTGCTAAGAATGGTCACCTTGATGTCACCGAATATCTGATCAGTGAAGGAGCTGAAGTAAATAGGGGAATGGATGATGGTTTGACTGCATTACACAGTGCTTCTAAGAACGGTCATCTTGATGTCACCAAATATCTGATCAGTCGAGGAGCTGAGGTAAACAAGGGAGATAATAACGGTAGTACTGCGTTACACATTGCTGCTAAGAATGGTCATCTTGATGTTACCAAATATCTGATCAGTCAAGAAGCTGAAGTGGACAGGGGAACGAATGAAGGTTGCACTGCATTACACAGTGCTGCTTCGAAAGGTCTTGATGTCACTGAATATCTGATCAGTCAAGGAGCTGAGGTGAATAAGGGAGATCATAAGGGTTTGACTGCATTACACAGTGCTGCTTGGAATGGTCAACTTGATGTCACCAAATATCTTGTTAATCAAGGAGCTGCTGTGATTAAGGAAGATAATATTGGTCGGACTGCATTACACAGTGCTGCTACGAAAGGTCATCTTGATGTCACCAAATATCTGGTTAGTCAACGAGCTGAGGTGAATAAGGGAGATAATATGGGTTGGACTGCATTACACAGTGCTGCTTCAAAAGGTCTTGATGTCACCGAATATCTGATTGGTGAAGGAGCTGAGGTGAATAAGGGAGATAATATGGGTTTGACTGCATTACATAGTGCTGCTACGAGTGGTCATCTTGATGTCACCAAATTTCTCGTTAGTCAAGGAGCTGAGGTGAATTTGGGAAAGCATGACGGTTGGACAGCATTACACAGTGCTGCTAAGAATGGTCATGTTGATGTCACCAGATATCTGTTCAGTCAAGGAGCTGAGGTGAATAGGGGAGAAAAAGGCGGTTTGACAGCATTACACAGTGCTGCTTTGGAAGGTCATCTTGATGTCACCAAATTTCTGGTTAGTCAAGGAGCTGAGGTGAATAGGGGGACGAATGCAGGTTGCACTGCATTGCACAATGCTGCTTCGAAAGGTCTTGATGTCACCGAGTACCTGATCGGTCAAGGAGCTGAAGTGAATTTGGGAATGAAAGACGGTTGGACTGCGTTACACAGTGCTGCTAAGAATGGTCATCTTGATGTTATCAAATATTTGATCAGTCAAGCAGCTGAGGTGAATAGAAGAACGAATGAAGGTTGCACTGCATTACACATTGCCGCTTCAAAACGTCTTGATGTCACGGAATATCTGATCAGTCAAGGAGCTGAGGTGAATAAGGGAGATACTAAGTGTTGGACTGCATTACGCATTGCTGCTTCGAAAGGTCTTGATATCACGAAATATCTCATTAGTAAAGGGGCTGAAGTGAATAAGGAAGACAATAGGGGTTTGACTGCCTTACACAGTGCTGCCCAGCAGGGTTATCTTGATGTCACGGAATATCTGATCAGCCAAGGAGCTGAGGTGACGAAAAAGGATAAGGCTGGTAAGACACCTTTACATCATGCCGTCCAGAATGGTTACCTTGAGGTTGTCAAAGCACTGTTGGAGGGAGGAGCACGATTTGATATAGGAGACATTCACAGACAGACACCTCTACAACTGTCTGTTATCCGTGGGTACCAAAGCATCGCTGATCTATTCATCGATCATTTGAATTCCAAGGTAATTATTTTAACCCCACACCTTATTTCAAATTCATTCACCTTAATCTTTCTCCATACATTTCTTAAATGTCAAATAAAAAATAATGAAGTTCAATTCAGTGAATATAAGGCATACATGTGTAGGTTACGTATCATCACATATTCAGACTTGGCCGGCTGGATTCTGGCTTACCACTCACCGCTATTAAATGTTTAGGCATACAAGTTAGACATGTTATATTTCATATATGTTCTTTTAAGTTACAACGATTGCTTGAAGGTATACTCGATTCATTGTATTTAGTTTGATCATATGTCACTACTTTTTTTCACAGAAATAACGGTAGTACTGCGTTACACATTGCTGCTAAGAATGGTCATCTTGATGTTACCAAATATCTGATCAGTCAAGAAGCTGAAGTGGACAGGGGAACGAATGAAGGTTGCACTGCATTACACAGTGCTGCTTCGAAAGGTCTTGATGTCACTGAATATCTGATCAGTCAAGGAGCTGAGGTGAATAAGGGAGATCATAAGGGTTTGACTGCATTACACAGTGCTGCTTGGAATGGTCAACTTGATGTCACCAAATATCTTGTTAATCAAGGAGCTGCTGTGATTAAGGAAGATAATATTGGTCGGACTGCATTACACAGTGCTGCTACGAAAGGTCATCTTGATGTCACCAAATATCTGGTTAGTCAACGAGCTGAGGTGAATAAGGGAGATAATATGGGTTGGACTGCATTACACAGTGCTGCTTCAAAAGGTCTTGATGTCACCGAATATCTGATTGGTGAAGGAGCTGAGGTGAATAAGGGAGATAATATGGGTTTGACTGCATTACACAGTGCTGCTTCGAAAGGTCTTGATGTCACCAAGTATCTAATCAGTCAAGGAGCTGAGGTGAACAAGCGAGATAATAAGGGTTGGACTCCATTACACATTTCTGCTAAGAATGGTCACCTTGATGTCACCGAATATCTGATCAGTGAAGGAGCTGAAGTAAATAGGGGAATGGATGATGGTTTGACTGCATTACACAGTGCTTCTAAGAACGGTCATCTTGATGTCACCAAATATCTGATCAGTCGAGGAGCTGAGGTAAACAAGGGAGATAATAACGGTAGTACTGCGTTACACATTGCTGCTAAGAATGGTCATCTTGATGTTACCAAATATCTGATCAGTCAAGAAGCTGAAGTGGACAGGGGAACGAATGAAGGTTGCACTGCATTACACAGTGCTGCTTCGAAAGGTCTTGATGTCACTGAATATCTGATCAGTCAAGGAGCTGAGGTGAATAAGGGAGATCATAAGGGTTTGACTGCATTACACAGTGCTGCTTGGAATGGTCAACTTGATGTCACCAAATATCTTGTTAATCAAGGAGCTGCTGTGATTAAGGAAGATAATATTGGTCGGACTGCATTACACAGTGCTGCTACGAAAGGTCATCTTGATGTCACCAAATATCTGGTTAGTCAACGAGCTGAGGTGAATAAGGGAGATAATATGGGTTGGACTGCATTACACAGTGCTGCTTCAAAAGGTCTTGATGTCACCGAATATCTGATTGGTGAAGGAGCTGAGGTGAATAAGGGAGATAATATGGGTTTGACTGCATTACATAGTGCTGCTACGAGTGGTCATCTTGATGTCACCAAATTTCTCGTTAGTCAAGGAGCTGAGGTGAATTTGGGAAAGCATGACGGTTGGACAGCATTACACAGTGCTGCTAAGAATGGTCATGTTGATGTCACCAGATATCTGTTCAGTCAAGGAGCTGAGGTGAATAGGGGAGAAAAAGGCGGTTTGACAGCATTACACAGTGCTGCTTTGGAAGGTCATCTTGATGTCACCAAATTTCTGGTTAGTCAAGGAGCTGAGGTGAATAGGGGGACGAATGCAGGTTGCACTGCATTGCACAATGCTGCTTCGAAAGGTCTTGATGTCACCGAGTACCTGATCGGTCAAGGAGCTGAAGTGAATTTGGGAATGAAAGACGGTTGGACTGCGTTACACAGTGCTGCTAAGAATGGTCATCTTGATGTTATCAAATATTTGATCAGTCAAGCAGCTGAGGTGAATAGAAGAACGAATGAAGGTTGCACTGCATTACACATTGCCGCTTCAAAACGTCTTGATGTCACGGAATATCTGATCAGTCAAGGAGCTGAGGTGAATAAGGGAGATACTAAGTGTTGGACTGCATTACGCATTGCTGCTTCGAAAGGTCTTGATATCACGAAATATCTCATTAGTAAAGGGGCTGAAGTGAATAAGGAAGACAATAGGGGTTTGACTGCCTTACACAGTGCTGCCCAGCAGGGTTATCTTGATGTCACGGAATATCTGATCAGCCAAGGAGCTGAGGTGACGAAAAAGGATAAGGCTGGTAAGACACCTTTACATCATGCCGTCCAGAATGGTTACCTTGAGGTTGTCAAAGCACTGTTGGAGGGAGGAGCACGATTTGATATAGGAGACATTCACAGACAGACACCTCTACAACTGTCTGTTATCCGTGGGTACCAAAGCATCGCTGATCTATTCATCGATCATTTGAATTCCAAGGTAATTATTTTAACCCCACACCTTATTTCAAATTCATTCACCTTAATCTTTCTCCATACATTTCTTAAATGTCAAATAAAAAGTAATGAAGTTCAATTCAGTGAATATAAGGCATACATGTGTAGGTTACGTATCATCACATATTCAGACTTGGCCGGCTGGATTCTGGCTTACCACTCACCGCTATTAAATGTTTAGGCATACAAATTAGACATGTTATATTTCATATATGTTCTTTTAAGTTACAACGATTGCTTGAAGGTATACTCGATTCATTGTATTTAGTTTGATCATATGTCACTACTTTTTTTCACAGAAATTTGGCTTTCAAGGCAATAGTTTTTGAATTACTAAGTTTTCGTGCTGTGTATTTTCTTTTATCCAGCTCGACGATACCGATTTCCCGTATATCTATCTTGCTACGCAACACGGCCATACCTCTACCATTGAGAAATTAGTAGCTAAGGGAGCTAATCTTAATGTCCGGTCAACTGATGGCCAGACGTGTCTCCATGAAGCCATTAAACTCTGCTATGAGAGCAGGAAAATTGTGCAAGAAACTGATAAACTTAGAAAGGTGAGTCATACCCCAGTACCGTCAACAAGACAGACATCCGACCGACGAGAATCCGAGCAACAAATAACATTTCCTAAAACTGCCAAATAATGGTCGTTTTATAAATTTATATGGAATCGGCGGTGAAAAATATTCTCGACATTATTAGTGAATTGAGAAACTGATACCGATGATGGGCCAAAGAAAATGTGTGGTGCGTGATGAGGGTCGTGTGTGTGTGTGCGTGTGTGCGCGCGTGTGTGTGCGTGTGTATATTGTGGGGTTTTTTTTTTGGGGGGGGGGGATTTACAACGTCAATAGGGATTAACACTGCTGTTAATCCCAGAGGCAACATAACATTATGGTCGTATCGAGTATCCACCCTGATTATTGATGGACGACACTGGTCTAAGAAAAGAGGTATATGTTTGTATATTTCAGATCTCTGATGTGTATTACAAGGGCGAACTATCCACCGAGAGGGCCTTAGTGTTTTATCTCCTAGATAATGGAGCCAAGTTAGATGTGCAGGATGAGACAGGCAACCTACCAATCCAATATGCCAAGGACGAAGTGGTCAAACAGATGATTTTTTCCAGGTGATACTTTCAAGTATATAAAAGTTATTAGTCGGTTGTAAGATGAAAAATTAATAATGCTTATCCATCTTGATATTATGGGGTTGGGTAATGGAATGCATTGTATTGATAGAAAGTATAGCTTTATTGTAAATCTTAACAGTTGATCATACATTAGATGTTTTTTGGAAAACAAAATGAATATGATAGTAAACCGGCCTATTGTAATTATTGCTTTTTGGGGCTACTGAGTTAAGCCTTATAAGTCGACTACTCAATCTCATCTTTATTTTCCTTTCAATGAAACAGTATATATTTTAACCAAATTTACTTAGAGGATATTATCTAACTGAAGTTCTTTAGATGTTTGGATTTGTGAGAATCGTATTTTAGGGGAATACCAGATGAAATTAGATGTATTATTTTCTTCATTTCATTCTTAATGCTAAGATTTGAGCCTCATTTTTTTAAATAACATGCCTCGATAAGTGCCCGACATTAAACAGTTTTCACATTGTATAGAAATGACTTAGACACTTTCTTACTAATGATTCATTTCAGATTACCTTCTTTAGAGAAGATCCAGTCTTATCGAGGTAAGAACATCCTCCAAACGCAAACAGTTTATTTATTTTGTTAAAATCCATTAAGTCACATATTAATCTAGGGATTATTATATTTAGCTTTCCGTCCCGAAAGAACAAGGTACTAAATAACTCATTGTCTTGGTCATTTACTTAATCGCTGTCACAACTCACCCAATACACTACGAACACTACATTTGTATCCATCCATGTGTATACAACAATGATCCAAATAGGAGAGATAAAGATTGCATGAGCTCCTAATTTCAAAAGCGAAAATATAAATATACAGATAAATGTGAACAAACGAAGCAAAATGGATAATACACTATTGATTTACCATAGACCCTATTTTAAATATTACAAGCCAGGATGAACAAGTCAGTGTTGGGGGTAATGAACACAACCTTTGACTATGGTAATGAAGTTAATTCATTTGTGAACAAGATTGAGATGAAAACTATATCAAAATATGTAAAAAAAGAAAGAAAAAAGATGAACCATTAGCACCTGTCATCCCTTCTGTTTAAGCCAAAAGGAATGCCAGTCCGGACATCAACCTAGAGGACCATGGTGTATCACTAGATATTCCTCCGGAGGTTGATCATCAGAATGACTCGTACAAGATCACCATAACCCCCTTGAGAGACCCTCCCAGTGTTGACATCCAAGATGATGAATCAATGGCCTGCTTTGGAATCAGATGTGACCCTCCTGCCATGATCTTCCACCAACCTGTTAAGATCAGAATACCACACTCTTCCTTGGTCGGGAACCCTGATCTAGTGACGCCACACATCGTTTCCCGTGCATGGGATTCAGTCAAGGGTACGTTTAATGGGTCGATTCGATTCTGGAAAATACCATTTTTTGATGCTGGGATAATTGGGAATTAATAAACTTTGACCCCTGTTCAGGGGCGTAAATCCGTACCGAGGGGTGGGAGGGGGGATGATCGGCGATAGCCATCACATACTAGCATGAGCACACGCGCGCCCACACTAATTTACGCAAGCGCGCGCGATCGCGCACGCACAAACACACAACACACACACACACACACACACATACTAACTCAGTTTCCCCTTCCCGCGCGAAGCGCGGAAGCCTTGACGTTTCCTTAAATTATTAGAGAAAGCAGACGATTGGGTGTACTGTTCTCGACTCTTAATTCTCGTCTGAATTTATTTTCCCCTTCCCGCGCGAAGCGCGAAAAGCTAAGACGTTAGATTTAAATATTATAGAAAGAAGACGATTCGTTGCACCATTTTATCTGAATTCAATTCAATTCATTCAATATAAACAACAAATTAATTCATTCATAGACCTACACAAATATCACATGTATTGCAGCCCTTAAATATCATCCCCTTGTCCCTTAATTTTTAGGTGTGAACAAATGACAACCACCGAGTAGGACTTGGGCAATGCAACAGTTACCGTATTATTTATCACTCTCAATCAGATGCGTTCACAGTTTTCACACCTCTCAAAAATGTTTCTGGAATTCATATAATGATACATGTACTGTGTTTATTATTTAAATCTAATGAATTCTTTAATTTCCTCAGCCAAATCCTTTCTCAAATATAAAAATAATATGAATGTGTACAGGCTTACCTTGAAATAACTGAAGAGACAAACGGCCACTGTAAGTCTTGAACACGCCAGGTCTGGAACTTCAGTCTTCATCTATACCCCCCCCCCCCACACACACACACACACACACACACTCCGGGGTCGGAGGGACCGCATGCGCGTTCCTAAAATCTCCAGGAAAGGGGTATTTTTTCGCGCGACAAAATCCAGCCCGAGAATTGTAAAAAGGAAGGGGGTGTATTTGACTTTTCACCCGGCGATTTCTTTAAAAGGGGGGAGGGTTTTTTTCTCTCTCTCTTTGGACTCCTGAGAAATGTAAAAAGGGGGTTATAAAATATCTTGAATATCATAGAAAAATTGATCGAATCCCGGGATCAAATTCCTGAAACTCCTGCTAGCTTTGAAAGCTCATTCAGGATTATTCATTTTGAAAAGTAAAAACATTGCCCCCAGCCCCCCCCCCCCCCCAGTCCCCCTCGATCGACTAGAGCTCACCTGAAATTGGGGGGGGGGGGGGGGGGTGGTGGTACATTTAGCAGTGTTCCGGATTTTTTTTTTTTTTTTTTTTTTTTTGGGGGGGGGGGGGGGGGGGGTCTCCAAGGCAGGAAAAGCCAGCGAAAAGCCGGCGAAAGGGGGATTCAGAAATGCTGGCAGTCCTGAGATAGGGGGGAGGGGTGCTTTCAAAGGGAGGGAACGAGCATACGCGTACCCTAAATAACACTGAGTGGGGGGGGGGGGGGGGGAGAGCCGGGCATCTACTGTACATGATTGCTGGCGCACTTTACGTCTAGGCTATAATAATACCTTGCAAAATAACGAAAAATTATTCTGAAGTTTATGAAGTGCTTGTTCGCGCACGTCGCGCAACTACTCTTAATGATCGTGACATACTGTATACGTGTAGGCTATACAGTTATACATACATTTAAAAAAAAAAACTAATTTCTCATGCATTATGCTGAAAGTGAAGCCATCACATTTTTTTTTCTTCTTCCTTTTTTTTTCTCTCTTTTGAAAGGTTACAATTTAGGCCGCGGCCTGGCCTAGCACTGTAAACGCACAAAATTTCGGGGCCGAGTAGTCCTGGCCCGGCCCTGGCCCTTTTCTCACTGTAAACGGGGTCCTAGATCCCATTTTAGCATGCCAAGCAAAGCATGTCGAATTTGGGAGTTACTGTAGAGCAAGCGCCACGAGCGCCCATATGCGGTGGGCACCGGCGCTTTACAAGAAGCCCTGATCGTCATCATCATTTCAAACCAAGTGAAAACTTGTTTTCAAAATCTATTACATTCTTCTTCCTCTTTGCTAGTAGTACAGGCCACAATCGGGTACATTGGTAAAGACTTGACTCTTGAATCTTGAATTATAATTTTAAATATAGTTTTAAAATTAATTATAAACAATTTCTGTTAAATAAGTATAATAATCAGTATCAATAGCATGGGCAAGTTGACACTTTTCTTTCCTCTGATCGTACATGATAGGATGTTTTAGTATGTTTTTTTCTTTTTTAGTTTTTTGTTCAGTTCTTTTGTTCTTGTTTCTTTTGTACCTGTATATGTGTTTTTAGGGGTAGGCTTTCAAATATCCCGAATGCTCTTATAAATTGCCATTGTAATTTGTTATCAATTTCTTGTTTTGTTATTATTCCATTCTGTATTTGTATGTTTTAAATGGGTTTTTTATGAAGAGTGTTGAATAAACTTTGAATTGAATTCTAATTGTGGTCTTTGAACACTTTTAAAGCGTTCCCAGGGTTAGTAATTTAAAGCTCTAAGCTCGTTGTCATCGCCGTGTCAAAACGTCGTTAGGAACAATTTGCAACTAACATGTATCTGTGGAAAGTTTCAAAAAAGGGGAAGAGGTTTTAATAAGGGGGAGGAGGTGCTTTGCAATGTGTTTTTTTTTTACCTTTAAAATTATTATTCTTGACAAGGACACCCGCTATGGATAGAAATATTTAAAGTTAAACCCCAGTTATGGTCATGCGATTGCATTGTAAAAGAAACGTTGTGGAATCGATCAGAAAAGGCTGATCATCTAGCATCTAGCATCTGCGAGGTTCTGGAATCATCAAAATGATAAGAAAATTGGCCCATTCTTCGTAAAGTTACAAGCACTATACACAGAAAGATGTATATGGGACTACCCTATATCTCTCACAGTCCATGAGAGAAACAAATTTACCAAATATATGAATTAGTAGGCGGTTTCCCGGCAAATTTTTTATCATCATGTATTAGTCAAAACATATTCTTTCACATGATTGGTAATGAGAGCTTCCATTTCATTTTTTGAAATTGGGGCGTTTCCAATACTGGTCTTTACATTTAAGGTCAAATCGGCTCCATAGCGAAATAACATTTACCAATCACATTATTTAATCTCGCTTTTAATGTGAGAGGACCCTCGTGAATAACAGCACTCGTGCTGTTAAGGGTATCCCATCCCACACGTGGTAAATAAATAAATGAAATAAATAAAATAAACAACAAGTGCCTTGCTTAACCCATTCGCACCAGATCTACCAGTAACATCAAGAAAGATATCATCCAACTCACCAGATGAACCACCATACTGCAGAGTGTACAAGAGACACCTTGAGCTATACATTGGTCACTGTGCTGAGTGGTGGGTTCTTCTTCCTTTTGAACAACGGGTGATCCGACACCAACTTATGTGCACCCCCTACATCCCAGACAGTATACAGAGAGAGCAACGATTTGAGATTCACCTTCAGATGCACGCGGATCTACCTGGGATGGAAAAGGTTGGTGATAAGTCCGTTATTCTTAGCCAGTCTTAATGCAACTTGATGAATCAAATTTTTCATGAAACTATTGAGAATTCATAGTAATGGTCATTCGTTTCAAATCAATTAAACAATCTTGGAAAAATGTTGCAAATAATAAACCATAATATTGACATGCCTTGGAATATATGTTATTTTAATTTTGAACCCAATTAATTATTCAATCGTCCATGTTTTTCAAAAGCTACGTAGAAACATTCATATAGAAAATCATTCCTCTTTATGGTTAAGAGGGGCAAACAACTTTTCCATAACTTCCAATGATTGAGTTTAGGTATGTTTTTAGGAAAGTGACAACCAATTTCCTCAATTTTAATACGTCACATAGGATATTAAAGAAACATTGTAGTTATATTCGCTTTTCCTTTAATAGATTGAACGGGAAACAAAAGACATTTGTAAATGACAGCTTTACTAAGCCATAGTATCAAGACAAAGACATATCAGGCTACATTTATGTACTCAAAGCAAATCAATTACTGTCATGAAATAGTACATTTTCCCCAAAAACTGCAGAGATCTTAAACGAACTTTTATGCCACTATGAACACCTAAGCATTGTTTAAAGAAAAATAATTGATACTAATAGACCCTGCAAATTTTTCTATAGAATCATAAATCTTTTAAGAACAGTGATTGCTCAATACCAAGAATCACGTATATAGAACCACTTCATTCTGAGTGATTTACTATTTATTAGTTTTCTGTCGAGGTTTGAAATCACTGAAAGGAAAATGCGTTTTCGCACTAATGTGTGTCGATGTTAATTTGTCTCTTCTTTTGAAATAGAATATAGAAGAAGAGAAGAAGCAACAGTCTTACCGTAAGAACCATCGCTCTGTTCCCTTCAGTGTTGAATCTAAGTCTGGTGATGTGACGGTGACGTGTCATCGTGAAGGCGTCCAAGTTGAAAGCACGGTGATCAACATTTGCAAGCATTGATGTGATGTATCTTATATATAATAATCCGTAGCACATATATAACGTTTTATTTTTCCCTAGCAAAGGCTCTATTATGATAATAATAATAATAATAATAATAATAATATAACATTTATTAGGAGCTTAATACAGGTGTTTCTAAGCGCACTTTTGTCTGAATTAAAATTACCAACTAAAACTTGTAATAAACACAAAAAATATAAATATGTTCTTTATTCAATAAATCATGCATATATAATAACAAAAATAAAAATGAGATCAAACATAAGGTCAAACATGAGATCAAACAAAATATCAAACAAACAAAGAATAAGATGGTGTGCACCTCCTTTGACCGACTCACAACTGCATAATAGCATTCATGAATTAAAAATGTGCGTTTTCAGTAAGGACTTAACTGGTCAAGAGAATGAGTATTATGAATATGCGCTGGTAATTTATTCCAAAGGATAGGGGCATTAACTGAAAAAGCTCGATCGCCATATTTTGTAACAGAACGAGGTCCAAGGGTTAACTGCAAGGTTGATGATGATCGAAGAGGTCTTAAAGAACTAGAAAAACGTAATGAAATCAATTCTGAAAGACATTAAGGGGCTTGGCCATGGAGAATTTTGTATGTCAGAAGAAGAACTTTAAATGTTGTACGATGGTTTATGGGAAGCCAATGGAGAGAACGCAATATTTGGGTTATGTGCTCAAATTTTCTCGAGAGAGTAACAAGCCTTGCAGCAGTATTCTGAATTTTTTAGAGTGGAAGTAAGTATGAATGAGGAAGGCCAGACAAAATTGAATTACAATAATCAAGATGGGAGGATATGAAAGCATGGGTTAATTTTGCAGTTGTGGGTCGGTCAAGTAGTTTTCTAATTTTCCCAATTTTGAAGATTCCAAAAGATGCAGATTTACAAACATTTTTAATATGCTGCTGAAATGTAAGATTTTTGTCGATTGAAACACCAAGGTCTCGAACGTATTCACTACCCTTCAGTGAACCATCTCCGGTAACCAAGTCGGGGAAGGAATCGGTGTTTCTGAATTTGGAAGTAATGTGGATCATTTCAGATTTTCGATCATTAAGGCAAAGTCTATCGTTAGAAGACCAGAACCTAATATCTTCAAGGCAACTGCTAAGTTTCCGAGTCGCATCATCCTTCCCGTTAGGCTTAAGAGTTATATAAATCTGAGTGTCGTCAGCGTACATCGCATGATAAATCCCCTAGTGAGAATTAATGACCTTAGACAGTGGGCTGGTGTAGAGAGCAAAGAGAAGTGGGCCGATTACGGAACCTTGAGGAACGCCGCAGATCAGTGGAAATAGTGCAGAAGGCGTGTCGTTGATGATCACACATTGACTGCGATTGTGGAGATATGAGCGTATCCAATCAAGAACAGTTCCGGTGATAAAAAAAAAATCATTTTCCAGGCGATGAAGTAACAGGGTGTGGTCGATGGTATCAAATGCAGCCGTGTAATCAAAGAGGATGAGCACAACTTCATTACCCTTGTCTATGGCCAGGAGAAGATCGTTTAAGACTTTAACCGAAGCAGTTTCTGTTGAATGGTGGTTCCGGTAAGCAGATTGATTGACAGGAAGCATGTCAATTCTCTCGAGGTGGGCCTTCAGCTGAGCAGCCACAATCCTCTGAAGGACTTTATCTAGGAAAGGTAGATTTGCAATAGGCCTGTAGTTGTTCAGTCCATTCGGATCAAGGTTCGGCTTCTTGAGAAGAGGAATGAGTAGAGACGTTTTAAATGATTCCGGGACATGGCCAGAGGACAAGGAGAGATTAAACATCTTGGTAATGACAGGGATGAGTTCGTCAAGGGTGTCCTTCAAGAGCCACGTTGGAATTGGATCCCCTTTACAGTGTTTATATGGTAGTGATTTGATGAGCTTCCTGACTTCTGACTCAGATACAAGACGGAATTGGGAAAGTACATGATCAGATGGAAGAGCGCAATATGAAATTGCTGACACCGGAACTGAGTCGGTTAAGGAAGATGCAACATTGGATACCTTTTCGCTGAAGAACCTAGCAAACCTGTTGGCGAGTTCACTGTCAGATGAGTGATCCGGAATAATCGATGATTTATTTGGTGATGAGAATAACTTTACGATGCTGAACAGTTGTTTGGTGTCAGCATCTGCAATAAGATTCTTGAGTTACGTTGACCTAGCGTTGTAGATGCATTCGTAGTAAGAATCGCATTATCGACGATACTGTTCCCTGTCAACACAAAGCCCTGACTTGATCATACAGCGTTCCGCCCGGCGCCTTCGTCTCTTTGCCTCATGCACGTCTTCGGTAAACCAAGGCGCTTTAGGTCTAATCGTGACGGTTTTAACTTGAAGAGAAGCATGCCTATCAATCAAAGTACCCAAAAATGAGTTGTATTGATCTGCAGATTTAGAGGGACATATATGTTCAGGAAGTGGATGGAAGATCAGTTTAATGTCGTTGCGTAGAGAGTCCATATCGATGCTTTGAAATTTTCTGAAGCTCACTTCCTTCTTCGGGTTCTGTGGCCTAGTGAGGCTAACTGTAGCAACAACTTCAGAATGATCAGAAGGGAGTGAAGACACCAGCTTTACATGGTCGATGTCGTCTGAATCCCTAGTGAATACTAGGTCAAGGGTATGGCCTGCTCGATGTGTAGGTTCATGGACATGCTGCTTAAACCCTAAAGAGTCAACTCCGCACATGAAGGATTTTGCAAAATTATCATTGCGATCGTCAACATGTACATTAAAATCACCTAAGAGTAGAGGAAAGTGATTGTTTACACCAGCACCTTCAAGAAGAGTTAAAAACTCCTCCAGAAAGGTGCTGTTAGAGACAATGTTACTTGTGGAGGGAGGACGATAAATACAGTACAATCTAGCAGCAGAGGATAAGGTAAGGTTGATTATTAAATCAAGTAATTCAAAGGAAGAAAAATCATCATGGGAATTTACAGTACAACGAGCTGTGGATCCATAAAGGACAAAAATGCCACCACCCCGAGAAGACTTACGGGGTCGGTGAATAAAATCATAATTAGGCAAGCATAAATTTATATCGGCCAAAGTGTGACAGTCCCTGTTTCTATCCCCAGATAGCCTTGACTCAGTTATGACTAATATGTCAAAGTTATTGTCTACAACTAAATCGGTAACTGCATGTGTTTCATTGGTCAAGGATCGTGCATTCCGTAGGCCAAGTTGGAGACCAGTGGATGGCACAGAAATCGGTGCAGAGTATTTTGACCTTGGGACCCTACGCTTACGGGGCTTACATCCGCGGTGAGTTTGACGTCGGCGACCGATACCAAGCTCACAAACCCTGGTCCACACAGGCTGAGATAGCAGCTGGTAAGGCTGTCTGTTCAACTGATAGTGAGCATTTAAATCATAGCAAATACGACTTGACGGTGCATAATCAGTATATTGAGATGTATGAACATGATCATGATCAAAGTTATGACCATCGAGACTCTGTGGTCCTGGGTTAGGCTCAATATCGCCAGAAAGTATAAGGTACTCAGTTGAAAACTTGCTGTAGTATTACTATACTACAATATTGGTTTACTACAGAACTTCAAACTGCTTTTAACAGGAATGTGTGGATTCACCCACCATTTCCTTACAACAAAAGACAGGTCAGAATCACTGTGTGCGAATGGTGTTGAACTTAACAGCAACTGTTTACGATCTGTTTAAGGACTTCATGGACGGGCTCTGCCTGGACTAATGTCTATAATACGATCCTAGTTCGTTCATTAACAGTCCCCAATACGTACAACTCGTCTGTTCTCTTCCACAGTCAGTTCATATTCAGTTCAGATCGGGTAAATTTGACATTTCCAAGCAGTCCAAACCTCTCTTACTAGTTCGCAACTTGTTCTAACTAGTTTATAACTTAACCAACCCGTTCAGAGACAGTTCAACTCGTCCTCATCTCGTTCTTTGTGCGTTCGAACGCGCTCCTATCGTGCGTGTGCAATCCCGTCCTGGTTCGAGGCTATAAAACCCAGCGCGTTCTTGCTAATTGATGCTCGACCACATCAAGTTGTAACACGTTCCTAGTAGGATCGAAGTACGACAATTCCGTTCGTAGTACGTCAATAATGTTCGTAGTAGGTCCATCTAGTTTTATGTACGTTGTCACTCCGTCTTATTGCAGGACGGGGACAATTTTGAAAATGCTCAAAGTTCTAGAGCACCCTTCCCGTCCAAGCTAGTCTGAGCCCGTCCATGAAGTTCTTAAAAAGATCATAAATAGTTGCTAATTCGTTCACTCCGTTCGCACACAGTTTGAGCCCGTTTGGCAACATTTTCGAAGACGTAGTGAGAAATAGATTGGTGTGATGGAGGCTTCACTTGAATGTCATGATCTGCCAGGTTTGAAGCGTTGAAGTTAAACGGGAATGAGGAATGGCGAGAACGCGCTGGGTTTTTATAGCTCCCGAGCTAGGACGGGATTGCACACGCTCTAGGAGCGCGTTCGAACTCACTAAGAACGAGATGAGGGCGAGTTGAACTGTCTCCGAACGGGGTGGTCGGGTTGAAAACTAGTGGTGAACTAGTTAGAATGGGTTTGGACGTATTGGGAACGAGGTGGAACTAGTTAATAATGGGTTTAAACCGACTACGAACTGGTTTAAACCTACTACGAAGTAGGATCGTATTATAGACATTATTAACACAATTTGCCCCGTCCACTACCCGTTTTACGATTTTCTAAAACGGTTCCAAAACGTAGTGAGAACTATAGATCCTACATCATTCATTAACAGTCCTTAATACGTCCATCTCGGCTGTATCCCGTCCACAGTCGGTTTATATCAAGTCCATATCGGGTACACCTGCCATTTCCTATCAGTCGAAGCCCGTTCGTAATCAGTAGTAACCATTAAAAAAAATAGTTCTACTTCCTTTCCAATACGTCCATCCAAACCATTCGAACTAGGTCGCAACTTGTTCTAACTAGTTTGTATCTCGAAAACCCGTGCAGGGACAG